ATTTCAACTCAGATAAGAAGTTAAGAGAAAACTGTGAGAAACTCTGAGAAAACTGCAGTACTTATGCCTAAGAATTCTCACAGGCCACAATCAGTAGCTGACCATTAAGAAATGAAGCTGGTGTAAATAAGTGACTAGAATGGCAGAGTTGCTGCTGGTTGGCAAGCACTGCTGAAAATCTGAAAACATCACTGATGCCATCTTAAAGACTTCTGCTCTAAATATATGGATGGTAGGAACAGTGGCATCAACAAAACTCAATAAAAGAGAGAGAGAAAAAAAAGCTTTAATTCACATGTAAAATGCCTCAGATGTGTAAAGTGCTTTTATATCCACTTATTCTAGATGGACATTATTGCTTGGAAGCAGTGTTTGTTACTTCTGGTTTCTAGATCTGAGCAGAAAGAGAAATACTGTGAGAGCTGCAAACGCTACATTGCTTTATCTTAGGCAGTTTAGTCACTGAGATGCAATGTGTTTTACTACAGTTTTGCCTAGCAACACATTGAGAACTTACTGTCCACATGAGAGCCTGGCAACATAGTAAGGAAGAAATCGTCATCTTTTAGCTATACCTATGTTTGGGAATGTTAGCATAAGTTGGTTTGCTTTGACTCGTTTACTAAAAATAACATTTTTTTCCCAGACAAAAGTTCAGCTTCTGGATTAGTCAAAGGGCTAAATATGTGCTAGTAGTTCTATGAGCAATTACAAGTGAAGTTCAACAAGAATTCATTATTGTTGTGTATTTCTACCCTAGAATATTATGCAGGACAGGTATTGTATTGTAACTAAAGTTCAGACATATATGTATCCATTTGATTTTTTCACAAAATTAAGAGATTATGAAACCTTAAGTACTGCCAAGTCTCAGTAACAGCTATTTGAGCCATAAAACTGAAGAGATTATTTTAGCATAAATAATTTTTTACATTAAAGACTTCTGCAAACACAGCAGTTAGATTTTACATGTGCTTGCAAGTGAAACCAGGCACTTTAGCTGACCATTTCCTTTTCTTCTACTGATATGATGAACCATTTCCAATATAAATTAGTTTACAGTAACTCAGCACAGTTCTTACTGGTGAAAGCCATATAATAATATATCCAAAAAGGTTCAGTAAACAGCATTCAGGGAACTACAGTGTTAGTGTTTGGGAGCAAGACAGATTCTATATCCTTTGTGCCTTGCCTTTCACTTGTTCATCACCTACTGTCCAAAATGCGCTAGTGGAGAAGGGGGAGATGATGAGGCTTAGGTCAAAAACCATACATCTCCTGGTCCCCCTTCCATTGACCACTGCGGTCACCTCACATCTAGTCCAAGTTTTTACTTCCTGGCCCTTTATGTGACATTGGGTCCAGATACTTTCTTGACCTCACTGTATCATGCCTCAGAAAGAGGAGCAACAGATGAGTAAACAAAACAATATAGACTCCTTACAATTAATAAAGACCAGACATGCTTTCTTCACCTATAATGATGTTAGGTTTTTGTAGCCTATTTTGTTCACAGACTGCTTAATTCTTCACATCTGTTCAGTCTCTGTCCCACCTTTACCTACTCTCTCAGTATCTTGTATTACTCATCTCTATTTCCATTCATCTTAACAACTTGTCCTTCACATTATCCCCCCACAATTTAATTTTGGTATTATTACCTATATTCTTGGAGTTTGTTTCTGTCTGTGTAAACAAGGGCAAAGAAGAAAGGCTATACAGTGGAAAATACTACTTTTAAAATGAACACTTCTTTTTTATTTCAAGCTTCCACGGGATTACAGATAAATACCCATCTCAACACATGCAAATGACGAAGGAGAAATGAACAGTCACCCTTGTCCCTACTGCTCATTCCTCCCACTGGCATCTACTCGATATCCTATATGCCTGAAAGAACTGAGAAAGCCAGCATATTCTAATTACCTTTATACAAACTTACCATCATTATTATAATTTACATAATAAAACCCAAAGTGTTCTAGCTGCTTTATGGAACAAATAACGTAGTGACTATTTGAAAGCACACAACTGTGTTTTAGAACCCTTGTAATCAAAACAGTTAACAGCTGTGAAGGGATCATGAATGAGAGAAAACAGTTAAATAAACAGTAACTCTTACTTCATGCATGTTTTGGCAGTTCCCCTAAATGTAACCTTTAAAATGGCTTGTGTCATAAAACCTTTGCTTCTGTTATCAGATACATAAGCATGTAATGGTCTTAAAGGAACCATTTGTAAGAGTAAGTATTCACTTATAACAAAATTAATGATAACAGTAAAAATTTGTTTTTATTCAGAACTTTTTGTCAACAGATCTGAGTGTTTTACAGAGGGTGTCTTTGTAAGAATAAGGCATACATTCTACAGAATAATGTGATTTGACTATTTGCTTTTTGTGGGATTCCACCATTTTCTTCAGAAGGATGTTCCATTGCTTAATACTTCTTCTAATTTTAAAGTGTCTTACTATTTAATCAAAACTTTCTTTGCTGAAATTTCAACTAATTGTTTCTCATTTTGTCAGTTTTGGCTTGTGAGAACAGTTCTGTCCTGTTCTTCTACACACTGCTAGCAAGAAAGCTATAACATTTCTAAGCTGTGGAAAACACCCATAGCATCTTTAATTGTAGACCTGCACAAATTATCATAACAGTTAATTACCGAATTCTCCATAACTCAGTTGCACTTCCCATTGAGGGATCTCTGAGTCCCTTAAAAATGTTCATATGTTTAATGTAAATAACCTGACATGCCAGGGACTACTGTCAGCCTCCAGCTTCATCCTGTGAAGGAAGATGGGTGCCATGTCTGCTGATAGTCCTCTTGCCTTACCACAAGATCTGCCTATTTATGTTTGTGGCATTACAGCTTATTAAACAGGGAATTTTAAAGAAAAAACAAGCATATTTTATTTCTTTAAAATGTAAAGCCAAGATAAAATACTGAACATACCCCACTGGACTAAACAGATATTGTATATTGAAATACATGCATCCTTTGTACATTTACTTCCATGGTCTTAGATATGCTCATGTAAGAGGTCAGCTGCAAAGAAAGGTGAAAAAGGGGAAGCCTAAACAACTCAAATTTTCTTTCCTATACTCCTATAAAAGCTCTATGATTCCTTCTTTCATTTCCCATATTTATTTTAGAACTGTTAAGATTGAAAGATAGCCCTATATGAAGTACTCTGGGATGTTTTGAGAGACTCAGACAGTCATCTATCTTTCAGGCAGAATCAAACCTTTAGGAGTATGATTTAGCAAATCCTATTAGACTGAAAACAAAGGAACTCTCTGAGAATATAGTCAGGTCTAAAATGACTAAATCCGTATATCCTTTTCTCTGAAAAAAAAGAAAAAAAAAGAAAAAAAAAAAAGAACAATCTACAGCATCCTTGAAGCAATAGCACACACTAAAAAGGAGCCACAGTTAGGATTTCTATCATCTGTCATTTTATCAGTCTTTTTTCCCTGTAGTTTTCTATAGTCAACAAGAGCTAACCAGGCTGGCAGAGGAGAGTATTTCAAGTTAAATGAGAAAATACTATAAAAGCATATTAGAATGGTGCAAAAGGAGAGTTCAAACATATGAAAGAGCGTCCATCTTTCTCCTCTTCTACAGCACAGTATTGCCTGAGCTTTTCTATTACCCCCTGGGCTCCACTTCTTAGTGGTATTACTAATGGACTCTGTGGTGGGTGCTCAAGTGTTGTTTAACTGGTTTTCCTTTGTAGATGGAGAATCTGACCCTCGCATAACTTGAAGCACTTAATTCCTGTCAGTTCTTCCAGTTTCACATCCCCCATTCTTTCATCAAACACAAAATCAGCACAAAATTATAGCACCAAGAAAGGTACTTAAGTCACACTATCACACAACATACTGGACAAAAAAAAAATGAGGCAAGGAAATGACCATTAAGCCTAAATTTCTGCTATTTCACTTATAAAATAGTCAATCTTGTCTTTTGTTAATTATAAGGAGATATAGCTGGCAGGCATTGGCTAATTTCTGTAATAACTATTTTGTCTGTTTCCTTTAATTTCCTCTGTTCAGTCTTCTAAATTTTGCCCAGAATAATACCTCATAAAAGCACACTAATGAAATGTCTCATTAGCTGCTTTCTTTTGTTACTTCTGTCTTGGTAATGCCACTTAGAATTCCAAGTACAGAAATGATAGTACACCAGCAATTGTGAGGGACTTTGAAACGCTCTGCATGAAGGGTGCTCTAAAAATTCAGCACTGAAACTGCAATCTTTACTTGTGACCATAACTGTTGTTAACAGTGCTCGATCAGGAAACAACATAAGCTGTTTGTTTTTCCACTGAATTTAAGTATTTTTAGATTAGTTTAAAATACGCACATGAAAACAACATGTGATAGAACTCAAGAATACAGTTTTAGCTGACTAAACCTTATAATTGTAGTTTAGAATAACTAAAATTATCTAAATTTCTAAAATAAGAGCATCATTTCTGGTTTACAAAAACTTGCAAAACACGGCCAGTTTTAACCCTTTTTTTATTCCAGTCTTTTCAAGGCACTGTAATAAACTTAGATTAAAAGCAATGTGAAGATATGCATTGATTTGTTTCTCTTAATGTAGATTAAATTGAACAAATAGATATGGAAATATAACGTCTTCCCCCTTTCTAAATCACTAAGATACAAAATATATTAATTGTTAGATTTGATGTTATTTTCTTCTTCATCTTGAGGGGATTTTCATTATTGAGACAAGAGGTTTGGATTATTGGTTATATTATCACATTGTCTTTTTACAAAACAGTCTGTCTTCAGATAGAACGTAATATAACATAAACCAAAAGAATTACCTTTGTCAACCTGTAATTATATACTTGCAAAGATTTAAAGAACAATGCTTAGTTAGAAATAACATCTATTCTTTCTTGGAATCTTACTGATGATTTCAAGAAGCTTAACTATTTGAGAGATATGTAAGTTATTTTAAGAATAAAAACAATTTCTTACTTGGTCCTCAAAGGAGATTGCCTGGGCAACATCTCTGGGAAATCCATCAATCACTATACCTTCTTCATCAGGGATCTGCATTAATCTCTGCTTTATCTCAGTTATGGTTGTTTCCTTTCACAGAGAAAAGAAGTTATTTATTTAATATTCTAAAGGAGGTTTTCTTGATGGTGTACATTAATACAACATGTACAATCCCTCAGAAGTAAACATGAACACAGGATACGCTGTACCTGAGGGGCCAGTTCTCCAGTAGTAATAATTTTGGCAATTAGACTCCATTTTCTATTGCTGCTTGTGCTGTGGATCTTCTTCCTTAGCAATTCACCAACTGATATGTAGTTAAATCCATAACGTTCTGCTATTTTCAAACTCTGTGTTCCTTTACCACTTCCTGGGCCACCTGTTGGTAATTATAAGCAAAACATTAAATTAATCTTTCATCTGAAGTACCCAATCACATGTGAAACCTTTGCTATCAGCACCAATTTTCCAACCATTCTTAGAGCAAATCTTGCAGTTGCATGACTTGTTACCAGCCATTTAGAAATGGGTCTCATCTACCTGATCAAAAAGGCAACAGCTGGTAAAATGAAGAGAAAAAAAAAAAAAAAGATAATACAAATCTACTTATGAATTAAAAATAAATGTGTTCTTTTAGGCTTGACCTCATTCTAAAGCTGTCCCTAGAAAGGACTTTTTCTGATCTGTAGTAGAGGAAGAGACAAATGAACTGGTCCCTTCTTGAATTCTGTGAATCCAAAGATAGAGTCAGATGACAGTCTGAGTGTATTCATGTCAGAAAGAATCATACTTGGTTAAATAAGCCAATGAAATAAATAGACCAGCCATGAAAAGAAACTAATAAAATCTGCTCCTAAATATGCTTGCATGAGTTTCTGAGGTTTTCTAATTTTAAAATTAAAAAAAAAAATAAAAATAAATAATCAGCTGAGATGTTTCCATAGTGATTTGGTACAAGGACTTTTATTGAACCATGCATACTTCTGGTACTGATGCTTGAAGCATCTGATAGAGAAGCAATGTGTTAGGTTCAGCTTGCTGGACAACTTGAAGAATAAAGAGACCCTTCAATATAGCACAAGCAGAACAGGTATCAAAATCACAGAAAACAGCTACATTACATAGCAGCGAATGCTGAAGTGAAGGTCAGCTGGACTGCAGAAGCAAGAATGCATGTCAAAAAAATCAGACTATGTCTGAACCAAAAGGACACATTATGATGTGAAGGACAGAGAAACTGGAATCCAGTATGTAAAAATAGGGAATTGTTTTGATAAAAATAGAAGTTTATATATAGAAAAGTGTATGTTACTGAAGAGCATAACAAAGCAAAACCAAAACAAATGTTTTTATATTAATTCCCAGCTCTAAGTAGCTATATTTTGGGAAATTGTATGTGAGAACATTGAATTGTATTTCAACAGACACAGAACTAAGATTTATTAAAAATATAATATACATTTTCTACTAACTTTAAAAAATAGCAATGCAATGAAAGGAAATATGAATACAACTCTTTCTTTTATTGTCTGTATGTCTCGGTTTCATCAGTTGCTCTATCACCCAATGACCCCTCCCCACCTAGGAAGGAAAAGGAAAGGAGACCCATGGGTTGAAATGAAAACAGATTGAATGAAACAATAATAAAAACTAATATTAATACTAACACAAAATACACAGTTATACTCAGCCGACAGAAGTGCAACAGTCACAAGAAGCGCGAGGGTAGGACTCGGGAGCAGAACGATGGGTGCAACCCTCCAGGGATGACGGCCACTGAGGAAGAGGGCTGTCCCCAGCAAACTTTCCAATTTACAGTGAGCGTGATGTTTATGGTATGGAATACTCTGTTGGCCAGCTTGGGTCAGCTGCCCTGGCTTTTGCTCCTCCTAGCCTTAGCACCTGGCTAATTCTAAACTGCTAAAGACCTTGAGCATCATGGAAACCCACATACCATGGCTGGCCACAAACTAAACCAGTATCTTAACTTTGTTCTCACCATATCAGGTGCTGCAGCCTTCTTAAAAATGTAGCTTTTCTGACAGAGTATTAATTCTATGATTATATCCCAGTGAAACCAGGACACTCTATTAGCTTTTAGGTATTTATATAATTAATACAGATTTGACTGCAGGATAAGCCTAACAACATTGCTTCATATATGGTTATGTCACTTTCTGTGTAACCAGTTTCAAACCTGTGCCCCAATATCACATATCAGAGAGCTTTCAGTGTCACCAGCAGTCACTAGGAACAATTCTGTACCCCTGACGCTGTGATGGTAACTCTCCACCTGGCCTTTGCAACTCAGATCAGGACCCATTTGAAGAAAACGCACAGAGAAACTTGCATTATCCTTAAGGTGTTCCTATACCCTCCCCACAGTTAAGTTATACCCTTAGGAAAAAAAAGGCTTTAACATTTTCCAATTAGTTTAAATAATGCTTAAATCAAGTCTGTAAAAAAACTGTATCTTATCTCTGAACAGTAAAGTTACAACTGAAAAGTATTTTTCACTCATTCAGTTCACTTGCTGTTTCTCTCCTAAAAAGGCACATGCTTTCTCTCTTCTTTCAGTAGATCATGTTAGGTTTTAAAGCTATTCTTCCATTTAAGTTCTTCTAGGTGATCTAGATGGGCTTATTTTTTTCAGCTTGAACTCTCTCTGTCATAGACACTTCAGTTATCCTCTTCACTAGAATAAAGGATGTTTCCCTTTTGTAGATACATAAGCATCTGACAAACTAGGAATTATCTCCTCCACTAAAGTGGCTACAAAGGAATTCTGTGTGTTTATACATATGTGTAATAGTTATTACTATGAATTTATGTGGCTTTATTTACTGGCAATAATCTTAACTACTGGGGAAAAAAGGGGCAGTAGGTGACCATGCTTCGGAGCAAAGGATTTTTAAAACATACTGGAGCCAAAGCTGTGTTTAATTCTTGCAGATATAAAACTTCCAAGAAAGGAAATTAAGTTTATTCCCCTGGGGACTCAAGACAAGTTTGAAACAAACTGTGCTGAATCTCAGAAACAATAAAAATGCAAAACATATAAAGGTAACATGGATAAAATTTGAAACAGAAAATTTTACAACAAAGAAAATAGTAACCTTATTCCAGCAGAGATACAAAAGATGCCAGAAAAACAGAACTGTTATTTGAGAAAACATTTGTTTCCATAAAACCATAAAATGGCTGAAAAAAACTTTCTGAAACCAAGTTTATAGACTTTACACTCCTCTTAGGGAGAGCTTTGCTTTGCCATTAAAGAGAAGCAGAAAAAAAACCAAAAACAGTGTAGTTCAGCACTTCTGTTCTTTCAATTTAGATTTGCAAGCAGGAAAAAAAGAATAAAGTATTTGCTTTAATGATCATAAACTTCTCATACATTTTGTTTTTCTCAGTCCAAAAATATCCTTTTATAGAATGCTAGGATTATCCATTTACAATCTAAGGGGAAACATTCAGGTAATAAAATAAGAGAAAAGTGTGAGGACAAAATTACATTATAATTTATTAAATTATGTATCCATTCCTGACTCTTTGATAAATCATACTGACAAACTGTTCACGAGAAAGGGAAATCAAATCACTTTTGGTTTTCATTCTTTTCACTTATTCTGAAAAGCATGATTATTTTACATATTTCTTAGAAGATGTCTAGACTAGAGAACATTTGTTGCATCTAAAATTATGTCTGCTAACTGGTTTCAGGTGAGTATTTGTATGCCCAAAAAGTTTTACTAAAGCGGTTGTTTTAATCTAGTTTTGTCAATGGAAGTTTAAAATTTCAATTTTGCTTATATTGTTGTAAATTGAAAATACATTCATGTATTAACAAGACTTTTGAATCAAAAGACTTAGGATTTTAAAATCTAACTATGGATCGGATTTAACAAATTAACGGGCCAACCAACTGCTGACAGCATTATCTTTGATCTATCCTTTAAACTTTGATTGTAAAAGGAAAATGTATTATTTTAATATTAACTAATATTTTTAATTAAGTGCCGATTAAAAACATACTGAACTATGGGGCTAATGACACCAGGCAATTCAATTTTTAAGATCTTTGTATTCAGGCTGTATCAGTAGCAAAAATGTGTTTGTCAAAATATGTTAGGAAGCACATTTTTAAACACAATCTAGTTTCCTAGTGTTATAATGCCTTAGAAACTTGATTTTCCAGTGATTCAGATGTGTGCCAACCTGGCTGGTTCTGATGTTTCTAAAATCCAGTCACATAAATGCAGCTTTGCAGCTTTACATTTCACCAGAAGACTTTTCTGCAAACACAGAAAAAGAAGAAAGTCCCCAGCTTTATAAGTGACTTCTCTTTTGCCTTGGAGCTATCTGGTTCATTATAAGGATGATAGATTTCATAAAGCAAAGAACTTGTAAAAACCTTTATGGAAGCATTAAAAAGATCTTGGGCTAATGCATTATTGAAGAAAAATTCGCCTAAAATGTGAAGCAGAAGACAGGTCTTTAACTTCTATTCATTTCAGACCCCAATAATGAATGGGACCAGTGCCACCTGAGCTAGGCAGTATGGTTAGTTACCACTAGTTAGACATAAGCAGCTTGCTCAGCTGAAGTTTTTGCTGGCATTTTATGCAAACTGAAAAATATGCAACACATTTTTTGTGTACAATATTTGTCTCTTGAAATTAACAGTACACTTTTTTCATTTTCTCTCGTTCACTCCACATATTAGTTATTCTTTTATTCTTTCCAGTGTGTGTTTTTATGTGCTTTCTCAATAGAAAGTTCAATTTGGGAGAAATTTTATTCATACTGTACAAAATTGGACAATAGCTGCTAAGCTACATATAGTATTGTGTTTCTATCAGATCACACTGTAATAGACAGATTCAGAGAAACTCAGTTGGAAAATAAACCTTAAATAGCCTTTGTGGAATGTTTAAGATGTTCCCTATATAAATGAGGGAAAAGACAAGCTCTGTAAAATCTACAGTCTGTTCACTATATGCTGGTGTTCAAGGATTTCACTTCAAATATCCCTGCAGTCAGTTCTAGAGGTGAAAGTCAATCTCTCTTTATTTCACCTAGATCAAACCTTCATTCATCGCTCTACTGCAATAGAGCTACGTGGATTTCAATGCATTAAGAGCCTTCTGTGGTCACTGAAAAGGAGACAGTTTTTCTCCTTTATGAAAAGGAAGGCTAGCTAATTAATTAGGATGAAACAAAGGCATGTGTTATTTCTCCATCCAGTACAAGCTTTACAGTTCAACGATGCATGGAGAGATTTATATGTTCAGATTTTTAATTCCAAAACAAAAGATTAAGAAAATTCAAATGCCTAAGCAATTCTTTTGGCATATCACAAATATCTGGAAAAATGTTTGGTTTTCTGTTTTCAATATATTCCAATACCACATTTCTGAGAACTGATGGATGCAGAGCCTAGAGGACATGCTGTTCTTAGAGATCCCACTCTATAATACAGAGAAGACATTTCTATTCTCTTTTCCTATACTACATACTATTCTCTGTAAGCAAGCAATATCTCTCTTTAATAGGAAAAAGGGTTTATAGACTAAAAACATGACTCTCCCTCACCTGGCACCTGTGCTGTAACTATTTAAACAGTCCAGAGAACCAGAGAATTAGACCTGGTGGTAATATTTTGAAAGACAACTATCCTAGATGACAAGGAAACTAATTCAAAGATCTTAAATTCAGAAACAGAATAAAATGTTGATTTAGACTTAAACTGCAGCTATTTCTTAATAAACAGTGTGCTCACCTGAGGCTGGAAAGTATGAGTTGCTTAGAAAGTGCTAAACAGGACACAAGAGAGAACCAGGGGAGAGAGCACAACTACCTAACAGCAACTGATCGCTCGCTTTCCCTGAAGATGGCATAGGGTTCATTTGCCAAATAGATCTAGGGATTAATTTATCAATGCAATGGACTAGTGACCACGTATGCTCACTCCAGCTGGACATATCTGTAAGTTTTCAAGGTTCTAAATATAGAGGACAACAGCTCCCTATCACCTTTTTGACCTGACTTATGCAATATTTTTAAATATTCCTTTTTGTGAGCAGCTTTGAGTACATTTACGGTAGTCTTAGTTCAGATCCGGAGCATGCTTTGGAAGAGCACTTTGATTCACATGGTGAACTTGTTTTGAAATGCATGAGTTGGGTTCAGTTTAGGTTAAATCAAACTGGCAGATGTGCTCCATAAGCAAACCATGAGCTCTCCAGCTGCTCATGGGCATCCAGGTTATAGAACACGAGCACAGGTGCTCACTGCAACCCCTAAAATGCTTAGTTGGGATGCTGTATCCTCGGCACTAACAATTTCACTTTCTGATACACTCCAATTCAACTGCACCACTTGCTACAGCAGATGGAAAAATTGTATTTAAATACATACAGGCATTCAGTGTATTTGCAGTACAAACAAAAAGGCAAAGTAACAAAGATAAAACCTTGTCAAAATGACTCTGCCTTCATACCTATGACAAGGATAATTTTTGGTCGAGGTCTTGCAGGATCAAATACATCGTACTCTTCAATTAGCTCAGCAGTTTCAGAGAGGTCGGTGTCGCTTTCTATTGAAAACTGTTGGATTGGAGGGAGTCGGTCATATCGTCGGTATGGGAAGTTAGAATTATCAGGCATCACTGTAAAATGGTAAGATAAACTGGGAATTGTGGAAATACACAGAAAACTCAAAATCTATTGTGTACACAGATTTAAATAAGTATAATAAATAAACATAAAGTATAGATATCTCCTAATTTTACAATATGCTCGCTGTTACTATATTAAGTATTCTTTGCTTCTATGTAGCTGATTTATTGAATTGGAGCCACTAGGAGTCAGTTTTCTTTGGTGTTTCTTTACAAGTACGTCAGCTTTTCTTTGAAGATCTGCCCACAGCACCCAGAGTTCAGCAGTGGCCCCTGAGAAGAAAAGTGTTGTACTGTGCAGATAACCTGCACAATTAAGCAGAACTCTTTTGGTGATACATGCTGTACACGGAGACAGAGATAGTATTCTTGCTGATTAGTATAATAAAATGCTGGATGGCAAGGAAGAATAACTATGGCAACTGAAAGATGAGCTAATTACTCTTTGTTAACATTACGAATAAAATAATTACAGGTATATTTGCTTAGATTTTATGAGATGAACCTTTTTCTTAGTGTTTATAATTTATGTTGTATTTAATAAATTAGCATACAGCTCCAGGATAAACTAGAAAAACAACCTAGCATAACTGCACTGAAGTTATTATGTATGTCACCTATAAGGACCAACTGAAAATACAAACCAAGTGCACTCAGTCAACTTTGCCCCTGTCTTTGCAAATGTTTTAGGTAAGATATGAGAAACCTCTCCACTAACATGTTAAACATTTACACGGTAAACCTCTATCATTAGGCTGCAAAATGATCACAATTTCCTCTCCTGCATAGCACCCGTTACGGGAGGAAAAAAAAAAGCTAAAACGCAAGGAAACAGAATCCTTGAGTCCTTTGCCTAAGGAAAATTAGAACGAGGCATGACCTGCTATAGAAGTAAGTATAAAATAATTCAGCAGTGGATGTAAAACCACCCACAGCACAAGAAATACAATCATTTTTATATTTAACACATTACCATTCCTGAAAAAAGACCTCCTGGATTGTCCTCCATTGAGTGGAGGCAGGGTCTTCTTTTCTGGGCTGACAAAAGTGTCCCACTTCACTTTTTCTGACCCTCCAAGCTCTTTCACTTTCTGCAAACAGCTTTCCAAATATTCAATTGGGTCATCGGGTTTGTAACACATCAATCCATTCAAGAGACTCTGCAACGTAAGATCAGAAATACACACTGTAATGATAGATGCCAGGAAAAAACAAGCAGTTTTACTTTTAATTTTACTTTACACAGAGAAACCCCATATTCAGACTCTCCATTTCAAGCCAATGTGTGAGAGTGAGGCCTGCAAAAATTCTCTGATTTTGGTTTGCTGGTGTCACAAAAATTATTCAGGACAGGAAGCTCGTGGCTATGTCTTCATATTTGTCTGCTTGCACTGTAATAAAAACTGAAAATAGTAAAAAAGTTCCCTACATTTTTCTTAGAACTACCACTGGCAAATGCATGCAGAGCAATGCAGAAGCTAGATAGCCCCAGAAGTTACATATTCTGTGTAGCCTATTAGATCACCGAAATGTATCTTTTCCTTGAAGACCAGTGCACCCACAAGTATCTTAGCCGTATTCTTGAGTTAACACTTAGACAAATAATGAATAAAAAAAAATTAAAATAATGAGAAATACTCAAATAGCATCTTGATCAGTATTGGAAAAAAACCCCAAACCCAAAGTTCATAGGTGCTTCCCGGTTTAATTGACCAGAAATCCCCAGCCATTAGAAAACCCCTGTCTAGAGTATTAATTCTGCACCCAGCGTACCCAGGGGCATTGCGGGGACTGTGGAAGAAGGAATGCCAGGGCCTCTGCTGACGCATGGTAATTAATTTTCCTTGACAAAGTGATACATAAGTCATCATCTCACCTCTCCACAAGACCACTGCATCCAACCTTGTCCTAACAATATACGTCTCTCAGGATGATTTCTGTTCCTTTGTGCTTTTCCTAATTTTTGTGCAAATAAACTTGAGGGTCACAGTTGATATTAGTAATAAACATAAATAGCTCCAATTCAGGGTTTTCTCAGTTATTTGCTATCCACAGTTTATACAATAATTGTTATTTACACACACTGGTGTTTATAAAATAGGATGTCATTTATATGTATCTGTGCCCTTATTATACTACTTAACTGATCACAGCACTAGCCATATATTTGTGCAGAAAATATGCACCATTTTTTAAAAATTGCCAGCTCAAGATTTGACCCTCTACATAAAAACACATCTGTTCTGTTCACATCTGCTGTTAAACCATTCACATTCTAATTGTGTTAGGAAAACATCAGCATAGTCTATGTCTTGTAATTTTCAAATACATTAAAAAATGTCTAGCTTCACACAGATCAGGGAAAATACATATGTGTCTGTGTGCGTGTGTGTTTTATATAGATGGCAGGACGTCTGATTCGGGAAAAAAATAATAATCCACATTTCTCAGAGAAGTAATTATCAACCATCAGCAGCAGGTAACTTGGAGGAAGCTGAACCAAACCTCACTCAACACTTGTCAGGTGTTTCTTTTTTTTTCCTTCCAAAGCGACAAAAATCCAGGGAAAGCCTGGAAGATGACCCCCGCCTGAATTCCTCGGCAGAGCTGCCCCGGGGATCGCTCGCCCCGCGGCCACCCGAGCCCGCTCTCTCCCCCGGGGGCTGCAGGAGGGCAGG